CTAACTGTGGTTTAAGTACTGAGCTCTTTTAAGTGGATCAGATAGGTTACAGGTTATAATTGTGACTGTCTACTTGGTCATCTGCTTCATTAGTTCCATACATTTTTGTTAAACCATTCTTTTTATAAAATAAAATATTTATAAGATAAATGTGAAGATGAGACTGGTCAACTGGGATCTAAAGACATGGTAGAATTAGTTTGTATGTGCAGGTGTTTTTTTGGATAGGTCATCACTTAACACTAGTGTATGTTAGATGGTTGGCTTCTATTAGTGTAGTTCTGAGTTTTTAATTTGTGAACACAAAATGTGCACACTAACACCCTGAGTCATCTAACTCTTAATCATCCTTCAAGCAAATCCATAGACTAGTCTGCAAAGCGTAGTCAGTGGTTAACACATGAATCAATATCACCGCATTGTGTTGACTTTATCTTAAGCCACAGCCTTTGCAAAAGATGACAGCGAGGAGAAAGAAGGATCTAAAAAAATCGGTAGTGTTGATATTTCAGAAGAGGAATCCTGCCTTGTGTTACTTTTCTGACTAACAGAAACCCCGCCTGAGTCACCGCAACTGGTTGTTGTGAAGACTACAATTTAGATAAATTATGGAAATAATGCAACTCTTTCTGGCAAATTCTCATGTTTGTCACAAAAATCATTTGGCTGAACTAATTGGCTTGATTTAGAATTCAGGTGCTTTGGGCCTTGTAAGTAATACTAATTGGGCTTGAATAGAAGGTACTGGAGAAGATAAATCAGTCAATCATTACTAGCATAACAAGTGATGATCAAATTAAAGATGATATGTTAAGGTTCCTCTGTTTTTCTTCTGTATGCATATTTAGCACACCAGATGGTCAATGCAGTCATAATAAACTGGTGGGAATATTTAATTAAATATGTTCCCAGGACATTAAATGTAGGGTATTGTTCTTTGGCTGATGATCAGAGTAAATATTTTGTAATAAGGGAGAGTCCTTGTAGAATACTGCTGGTAGTACATAAAAATCACATTTGGGAACAGGAATGTGTTCAAAGCAGAACTTTCTTCACAAAATTAAGACATCTGAAATGCTAATTCCTTTTATATGTGGGATTTTTTTTCCTACCACCAATCCACTCTTACTCATTACTACCCAATTATTACAAATAGCACGAGAAATTGTTTTAAAATTGATAGTGATAGAATGGAATGAGTCTAAGTTAAAGCCTGTAGCCATTTAATTGGCAATAGTCACATTTTTGCTGAATACTGAAGGGCTCATATGGAACACTGAAAAGCATAGTTAAGAACATCATCTCTGTTAAAGCAGCAATGGTTCCCTGGTAGTGAAGGAAGTCTGTTTGCTTTTGTTGGGAGTTAATCCTGCTCCCTTTGTGAAATCTCAGAGGACTGAAAACATCTTTCCATAGTCTGAAAATCCCTCCACCCCCAAGTATGCAAATGTCCACTAGCCCAGCCGTGATACTCCTCTGTCAATAACCTAATTATCTTTTCACCCTAACCAGTTTTATAATATCATGACTTTCTTTACTCCCATAGAGCAGCCTTTTTTTTCCCCTGTGAAAGTGAAATTAGTAGAATGAAAACAAGGATAAACTTAGTCTATTAAATTAGGCTAGTTAATAACTGGAGGAGGGAAGATCAGCTAGAAAACTGAACGACATACAGTTAGTGGACAACTGAACTGAAAAGCAAATTACCTTACTTGAGTGCATCTGTCTTGGAAAGTGGAATCAGCCAAGCTGATTGTTATGAAAGCTTTTGTGCTAGTATTGGCTACACTGACCTACTGCGGAAATAAAACATTTTGTGGTAGAATCCGATTAACAGGAAACTGGGAACTAGCAGATCCCTCCAAAGAGCAGAAGACTCTAAGTATTATCAGTAAAAGTCCCCCTTTGCAAATTAGCAGTGGAAAAACTGTTTTTAGCTTGTACTGCATAGGAATAAACAAAGCAAGTTCAAAACTAACAGCAAACCCCCAGTGCTATATAGCTCCTTTATTTCCTTATAGATCCTCCCTGCCTCAAAGCTTTCAGATGCATCTAAATTCACAGATGAACACTCTCAGCATGAGGGACAATGTGAGAGTGGTTTGCTTATACAGTTACTATTAGGTCCAGGGTCTTCGCTGACATCTGTAGTCACTGAAGTAGTGTATGAATTTGCATTTGCAGCTAATTTTAATAATTGTTTCAGACATAAATCTAAAAAGTACAGAGCTATGGAAGTGTTCTAATTTATTTTACAATTAAATAAAGGGGGGGTGGGGAGATTGTGGTGTTTTGCTGTTTTTTTAAATGCCTTTGGAACCACAGGCTGTCGAACCCCACTTAAGCAGTCAAGCCCAAATGGGTAGACACCTTTTGAAGGGGTCCAAATAGAAGAACAGCGTCTTCAATATACATAAGTTTGGTTACAACAGTAAAAATTTACTATAGAAATATGGTACCTGGACAGTAAAAGAATAAAGAGGAAGAGAGGCTGTGCAATTTCATGTTTTATTTGAACAACGGGGAAAGGTTTTGAGGAAAGAGGAATCAAACGGGGATTCATAGAAAATTGCCTCCTTCATTTCACTATTTATAGGGATCATTAGTCAAATCTTCTGCTGCATTGATGCACTTTCACTGCCCCCTCCCCTGAGCTTTGCCAGCTGATACCAGCTAAAGCTGTCTGATGTAATTCTCACTTTCCTCGTGCTGTAACCTTTAACTGTGTGTTTCTCACTATTTATGTCTGAGGGGTAGAAAATAATTCCTGCTACTAGAAATAGGTTGTGAGTTTTGATCTGCAGTCAGTAGCTGAAAAAGAGGGGAGCAGAAGGATGGCAATGAAGAGGCCTGGGCTGCTTTGCCACAGGCTTCCTTTGCCACTGAGCAAGTCACTTGATCTCCCTGTACCTGCCATATGCAGGGATAATAGCTTTTCCTTAGCTTATTCCAGTGTTGTTAGGATAAAGACTTTGAAGGGATTAGGTCCCATAGCTGGAGGCTTTAAAAGCACTTTGGATGGATAAAACAAGTTGCTGAAAGCAGCTATCGAGGTTCTAATGTAAACTGTACCGAGGTCACAGTGGTGACCTGGCATCCCCCTGGTATTCGCATTGTGTATCTCCCTTGCCTAGCCTAACACAAAAAATTTCTCCTATGTAGCTCACACACACGAACAAAAATTGAAGTATGTGTCAGGTAGCTTCCCAAAATGTTAGATACACCATCATTCCTAATGTTCTTTCAGCTAGTGCTGAAATGGAAAACAGTAACACTGGATAGCTACAATTCTTTCTTAATTAGAGTTGCAGCTCCCTTTAACAGTGAGAGCTAAGTGGTAAATTGCTTCCAAAAAATCCAGGTGAGATGAGCAAATCTCTTAGTCATGATTTTGACCTACCGGTTTCTGGCCCAGCAAATAACCAGAAGAACAGAGGACATCTGAGTCAGCTGAGACCATTTTACTGAATCACTAGGACAGTCTCCAAATGTTTCCTCATAGGTGGCTGCATACATACACAGATCCAGCACCTGCTTTCAATCAGTCAGATTGCTCATTTGCTAACTGAAGCAAAATCTGGCATGGTGGGGGGTGGAGATGTAACTAATGTTATATAAAGAATGACTTAACTACTAAGGCTCTAAGCATCTGATACTGTTGTCCTGAAGTAAGTGTACTCATCACTTTCCCAGAGCATACCCCAATGCTCTGACATCACAGAGTGGTTGCCATTTAAGAATATTTGCTAGGGATTTATACTCTTTTTCACCAACAATAACAGAGCTTTGTCTCCCCTTCAAAACTAAGTTGACCTGTTCTTGGGAGAGAAGATTCTCAGCATCAATGGTAACTTTTTCCCTTTTCCTAAAAGAAGACTAAAATACACAAGTCTGATGGCTAAGGACCCAATGATGGAGCTTTTATATGGATTTTTGCATTCTTTTGTAGCTCCCCAAAATCATGCCAGGCCATGAGAAATTGGAATTTAAAGTTGTGATGCTTCATGTATTTCAAAAGAAAGCCTCTCTAACATAGTGCTAATGTTTTGCATAAATTTCTTTGAATAAAGCTTCTGAGAAATTATAAGCGGATATGATACAGTACCGAGGCAATAATAGAAGAATTATGTAAATGTAGGCTGGACTTTCATTCTAGAATTTTTGCACTAAATTATCCTGCAGAATATTGGTGCTTTCCAGTGATGTAGGCCTTTGGTTCCCTTCTTTACTAGAAAACTTAGGTTTAAAGACAAACTCTGGTCAGACACCTTATGGGACTGGAGCCACGTTAGCTCACAGAGGTACTGCCTTCTGCTGCTGCACAGCCAGGATGGTTTCTACAGAGCTCAAACACTGGTAAGGCTAATCCAGAAACATGGAGACCCTTCTGTCCTGTTCTGAAGTGCCTTGGGAGGCTGGGAAGAGGAGAGGTGATGCAGGTATTTTTGTGCTTTTGTCTGTTTTGGGTATTACATGCTGCCTAACGTCAAGAGAGGGCTCATGCCTTGTTAACCTGCAAGATCTGCTGGTGGCATTAAAGCCATGTGCTTAAGGACTGACTTCCTAGAGCCTGTCCGGGAACCTGTGCTATCCCCTCTGCAGTGGGTGCTGCATCTCTCCTGGTGAGCACTCCTCTGCTTGTGACAGCTCATTGCTCTGTCCTATGAGGTTGTGAGTGAGGCAACTGCTCTTACTCTGTAAGGAGAGCACAAGTCAAGAGACAAAAGGTTTGGAAAGAGTAGCTCTGCACTGCAGGAAGCACCCAGCTCTGGTTACTCTTGAATTACATTTTATGTATTTAACTGAGATGGATATGTTAATTACAAGCTTGCTGTACCTTAGCATAAAGATTGCCGTCTCTCTTTGGTAGTTACAGTAACTCCTGCTGGATGGTCAGGGCAGCTGTAAAAACACCCATTCTTCCCATCCATTCCTCCCTTAGAAAGGGAGCAGAGAAGCCCCAGGAAATACATTTGAAACCAAATTAGATGGCAGCAAGGATGCTAGAAGAGAACAAACTGGGAAATATCTACTTTATACCAAATCATTTTAAGGACAGCTTGGGAGGTGCGAAAAAGATGAAAATTACTGGGCAGAAAAGGTATATGGCAGAGCACTGAACTTTTGAGTTACCACACAGCTTTGACCAAGAACACCACTGCACTTATAAGCCACGTTTACTAGAGTAAACATGTGGCCAGGAAAAACATTTCTCACATGTTTCCCTTTTGTAGTCTCTGGGATGCTAACAGTACATAGCTCAAGAGGGGAGCTCTGTTAACATTTGTAGTAGCGAACAGTGTGACACAATGTTTCCACAGAAAAAATTCTGCTTGTGTTCATTGGGAAAAAGCCTATTTACTTCCTTGACTGTAAAGAAATGTCTCAATTTCAATTTCAGTACTGTTGTTGTACCAGGAACTCCCTTTGAAGTTGTCAATGCTCTAGGGAGATCTTGTTTTGTGTTTTTTGAGTCTGATATACATTGTAGTCAGATTTTGATACTTTGTGACAACAGCATAAACTCAGAATAAATCCTGTTGGACTCCTGGCCCATGGCCCTTCAATAGTGTAATTCCATTGCAGGTGGCAGCAGCATCTGGTCTTTTATGTTTTAAGTAGTGTCTGTGATGTCCTCAAAGGATGGGCAATTTGTGTGTGGCTCAAGTTCTTTCAACTAAAGCTTGATAATGACATTCTCACCCACAGTTAAAAAAGAGAAGTGTAAGATACAGCAGTGCTCTGCGGCTGCAAACAGCTGCTCCATCACTGGGAGTCTGTGAGGGTCAGCATTATCTGTAGGGATCTCAGCCCACAGGCGATACTGTCAAACAGAATTTTGCAGCTTAAGGTACCTTTGGGGAACCAACTTTAGTGCCCCTAGGCACTGAGACAGTGTATTAATGGGGCCATAATTCCAGCAGCATTAATCAGACCCCAACATGTAAAAGGGAATGATTCACAGAGAAACACTGTGTTCTCTCAGTCTGTCGCTGTGGGAAGGCATTGGTAATGCATGAGTGGGATTTGTGATATTTTTCAGTTCACATGCTTAGGGATTTCCTCTGCAGCTTCAGGAAGGGTCATATTTCTTTGCAGGAAGGAAGGGGGGTCCCTTGAAAGGAAAGGTAAGATTTCACAGGTTAAAGTGTGGGTGTGAAGAACAACTGGCCAGCAGGGTGACTTGCCTGCACAAGTCTGTGCACTGAGACAGACCAGATCTGTTGTTGTATTTTAAGGGACTTTTGTTTTGTCTTTTGTTTTAAAGCAAGCTGGGGAAAGACAGTGTTGATGCTTAAGAAGAGAGCTGATGCGTAGGAGATCAGGGCTCTGTTCACAGCATTGCTGCAAATACTCATCTAGGGTCCGTGGCAGATGTTCAAACCTGGCCAGCTGCTCTAGTGGGGCATTTGGTGACCACCTGTGGGGCGGTTAAGCATTGCTGAATGACTGCGATGATGTTATTATTTGAGGAACCCACAACAATTTATTGTCATTTAGACAATTATTCTATCACCTGATGATGCCTCCCCACCCAGGAAAGTGAATTGGGAAAGGAAACCTGAGGGTTGAAATATAAACAGATTTAATAGAATAAGACTAAATAGTTAACATTAATAATACTAAAGAACCAATATTGATCCCAATACCAATATAAAATATAGAAGGATTATACTCAGCCAATTTTATCAGTAGGAAGCTGTGCACTCCCAGCAGTGGACAGCTAACGTCGGACACTGCGAACACTATGGTTTCGGGAGGAAGGGAAGGCCTCAGGGTCCAGCATTGGGCCAAGAAGTTCTCAGGATCACAGCCATCAAGGAAGAGAGAGACTCCACAGCAAACTTTCTAATTTATATTGAATATGACGTTCTTGGTATGAAATAATCCTGTGGGCCAGCTGGGGTCAAGTGCCTGGGTCTCGCTCCTCCTCATCCCTGCACCTGGCTAGCTCAAAAACATGAGACCTTGAAACCCATGTACCATAGCTGGCTATAAAGTAAATATTTTCACAAATTCAGACACTAGAGTCTTCTAAAAGTGCAGTTTTCCCAAGCATTAGAAGAGACCTTACTGAAAAGTAAAATTACTGAAAAAGAAATTAATCCTGTGTTGCTCAAACCAGGACAGATGACTAACCCCGTGCTGTGTGCAATTCTTAACCCCGCTTCCTCTTCCATTTCTTCCTCCTCTCCTTTTGTTTGTCTTTACTTGGTTAGTTTCCAGCCAAACACCGAGGAGCAGGGGAGTGCATCATTCAGCACACTGAGGAGGAAGGCAGGGTTGCAGCCCTGGTTCCTATAGCATCAACGCAAAATACCTGTATCAGAGCCTGTTTCCCTAGTGGGACAGAAGCTCTGCCCTGCTAGTCGGGCCTGTGATCAGTTTGATAACTGGCCTAAGTAAGGGTAGAAAATCTGAATTGCTTGCTGTTTAAAAAGGCAGCAAGGGAGAGGAAGAGTTTGGTATGGTCCTATCAACAAATAGTGTGAAAACTAATTGCAGCATGGAAGGGAATGGGACACCAGCGTTGTGATCCAGGAATGGAAAATGTGGGCTGTGAGACAATCGAAAACGCCTTTTAAGAGATACATACTTTTCTCTTGTTCCAGAAAATGGGTAGTGAACAAGTGAAGATGGTTTCAGTCATTTTTTATGTTCTCCAATTTTGATTTAGGTCTGCTCCAGCTCCTACCCAAGGTCCCACCAGTGCTGGGGTTGCAGGGCCACCTTCTGCTACCAACGTGTCAAGTAGCAAACGGCTGCAGCAGACACAAGCCCGGGTGGATGAGGTAAGTGGCTCTAGGTGATTTGTTGCTCACCACAAGAGTGCTGATGTGATTATTTCTTTTTTTTCTTTAAGATGCTTTCCTCCCTAGTGAGCCAGTAATTCTTTCTTGTCTGGGCAGTGGATCTAGGAAATGAGGTTTACTGAAGGATGGCATTTATGAGGAGGCACATAGTACAAAAGAGATTCCGAGTATGAACATCCTTGTACCAGTAACACTTCTGCAGAATAAATGCGGGCATTGGTGCTAATTCAGGAATTCATCCCAGTCAGTCAGATTAGGAGGAAATGTCATAGTGGAACCAGCTCTTTCAAAGTGTTCCTGCGTTCCTGAAGGTTAGATGCTAATCTCACAGGCTGTTCCACAGGGACAGACCATCGGTTTTTCATAGATAGATTCAAGCCATGAGAATTGTACAGCTGAGGGCTGTGTTCATTAGTCAGAGCTCTACTGATTAATCATCACAGTTTATCCCCAAATATAGGTACCTACACATGGTGTCATAACAGCATCTTCAACAAAACACTCCTTTTGTTGGTCTTGGAGGACCATGTGCCTGTTCCAGAATGGATCCTTAAATTGTTGTACCATACACACTACCCTGCCAATGTGGCTGTAATGCCACTGTCCATCTAACTGCTGTGATAATGGGAATAAGTTAGCATACTGCTGCTCATGGGTGTAGTCCCTAAGCGTACCAGCAGTACAGTAGCATCTGTAGCATCCTTGCACACATGCTGTGCCGATTTGTGTGCTGGCTGTTACAGAATCACAGACTGGTAGGGGTTGGAAGGGACCTCTGGAAATCACCTAGTCCAACCCCCCTGCCAAAGCAGGTTCACCTAGAGCAGGTTGGACAGGAACGCATCCAGGTGGGTTTGAAGATGTCCAGAGAAGGAGACTCCACAACCTCTCTGGGCAGCCTGTTCCAGTGCTGTCACCCTCAAAAGTAAAGAAGTTTTTCCTCATGTTGAGATGGAATTTCCTGTGTTCTAGTTTGTTCCTGTTGTCCCTTGTTCTGTTGCTGGACACCACTGACAAGAGTCTGGCCCCATCCTCTTGACACCCACTCTTTAGATATTTATAAGCATTGATGAGATTCCCTCTCAGCCTTCCCTTCTCCAGGCTAAACAGACCCAGGTCTCTCAGCCTTTCCTCACAAGGGAGATGCTTTATTCCCTTGACCATCTTCATAAGCCCTCTGCTGGACCCTCTCCAGTAGTTCCTTGTCTGTCTTGAACTGGGGAGCCCAGAACTGGACACAGTACTCCAGATGTGGCCTCACCAGAGCAGAGTAGAGGGGGAGGATGACCTCCCTTGACCTGCTGGCCACATTCTTTTTCATGCACCCCAGGATACCATTGGCCTTCTTGGCCCCAAGGGCACATTACTGGTTCATGGTCAACTTGTCCACCAGGACTCCCAGGTCCCTCTCTGCAGAGCGGCTTTCCAGCAGGTCAACCCCTAACCTGTACTGGTGCACAGGGTTATTCCTCCCTAGGTGCAAGACCCTACACTCGGCCTTGTTGAATTTCATTAGGTTCCGCTCCTCCCAACACTCTAGCCTGTCCGGGTCTCACTGAATGGCAGCACAGCCTTCTGTCGTGTCAGCCACTCCTCCCAGTTTTGTGTCATCAGCAAACTTGCTGAGGGTATGCTCTGTCCCCTCATCCAGGTCATTGATGAATATGTTGAACAATACTGGACCCAGTACTGACTCCTGGGGCAACACCGCTGGTTACAAACCTCCAACTAGACTCTGAACCACTGATCACGACCCTCTGAGCTCTGCCATTCAGCCAGTTTTCAATCCACCTCACTGTCCACTCGTCTAACCCACACTTCCCAAGCTTACCTACGAGGATGTTATGGGAGACAGTGTCAAAAGCCTTGCTGAAGTCAAGGTAGACAACATCCACAGCCCTCCCCTCATCTACCCAGCCAGTCATGCCATCACAGAAGGCTATCAGAATGGTCAAGCATGATTTCCCCTTGGTGAATCCATGTTGACCACTCCCAATAACCTTTTCCTCTACATGCTTAGAGATGACATCCAGAATGACCTGTTCCATCATCTTTCCAGGGATGGAGGTGAGGCTGACTGGCCTGTAGTTTCCCAAGTCCTCCTTCTTGCCCTTTTTGAAGACTGGCATGACGTTGGCTTTCCTCCAGTCCTCAGGCACCTCTCCTTTTTTCCACGACCTTTCAAAGATGATGGAGAGTGGCTTCACAATAACATCTGCCAGTTGCTTCAGCACTCGTGGGTGCATCCCAGTAGGGCCCATGGATTTGTGGGTGTTGAGTTTGCTTAAATGATCTCTAACCCGATCCTCCTCAGTCAAGGGAGAGTCTTCCTTTCTCCAGGCTCTCTCTCTTGCCTCCAGGGTCTGGGATTCCTGAATGCCAGCCTCAGCAGTAAAGACTGAAGCAAAGAGGGCATTCAGTAACTCTGCCTTTTCTGCATCCTCTGTCACCAGGGCACCTACCTCATTCAGCAGCAGGCGCCCATTTTCCCTAGTCTTCCTTTTGCTACCGATGTACTTGAAGAAGCCCTTCTCATTGTCCTTGACATCCCTTGCCAGGGTTAATTCCAAGTGGGCCTTAGCCTTCCTCATTTCATCCCTGCATACTCTGACAACGTTCCTATATTCCTCCCAAGTGGCCAGTCCCTTTTTCCACATTCTGTAAACTTCTTTCTTACATTTGAATTTTTCCAGCAGCTCCTTGCTCATCCATGCAGGTTTCCTGCTTCCTTTACCTTAACTCTATATTAAGTATAGAGTTTTGCTAAACCCCTACAAAGACTTAAGTAACTAATTGCTTACTGTCCATGGGGAAGTGACCAGGGCTTGTGTGATTCTTTAATGCCAATTCAATAAAATACACATTAGAAAATAGCTATTTACATGCATAAAGGCCTCTACTTTCAAAAACCCCAGGTATGCTTTAAAAATAATAGAGAAGACTTCACAACATCCAACTCAAATGCATTTCTTAGGATGATTAAAATACATCTGTCAATTGAGCTTTTTCTTTTTGAGAACTTTTTCTTTGTTGAAGATCTGAAACAGGGTCTTTCTGGCCTCCCCATTACTGATGCTCAGCGCTGATCACAAGAACATCGTCTGGCTGCAGAAATGTCTGCAGAAATTTCTAGGCTTGGTTCTCTCATTATCACTGATTTTCACATCACACTAACTTCATTGACATTAGTGGAGTGTCTCTTGCAGTGGGAAAGGAATATTACATTTCAGCTTTTGTCTTGGGTCAGAATAAGGAAATAAACTTCTTGTCCTGAACATGTTACATTATGATGATGCTGTAATTGTTTATGTGAGCTACAGTAAAAGTAATTGTCCCTAGAACATGAAAAATAATTGCTAATTATTGTCTAAAACAAGTGATGCAGGTCAGATACATAGGGTTCTTCAAGCAGGTGAATGGAGATGGCTCTAGTGAGGCTAGTTAACCTCCATTTTGTGTTTAAGACACTCTATTCTGAGACTTTTCACTCAAGCCCATGCAAGTTTGTCTTCTTGTGAAGCATGATGGAGTAATTTTGGTGGGAACTCTTACCCAGTATGAGGGGACAGCGAGTAGCTCTTGGATTTGAGGATTATATTGGTTATAATCAGGGTCCATGGGTTTTGTGCCTCCAGTTTGAGAGGGAGGCTGAGGTTCATCTGTGTTTTGAGTGGATGGCACATGGTCAGCAGATCCTTGTTCAATAGGGAAATCATAGTACAAAAATAGCAAAGGGAGAAAAAAACTCCACTGGGCTTTCAGTACTGTAAGGTCACTAGGGCGAAACTGGTTTATAGCACCTAAGGGTCTGATCTGTTAAGCACTGGTTTGACCTTCCTACTAGACCCGTCCTGGTTGTTTTTCTTTCATGTCCTGTGGGAAAGTAATCTGTAGGTGGCACCAAACACCACAGCACACACTACGCTCTTCTGGCTATGCTGCCCCACATGCTGTTTCACACAGCACTTCAGACCCAAGCCCAAAACTCAGCAACTTTGCTTAAGAGAATTTTTTTTGTCTTAGTAAAATGACTGACTTTTTTAATGCTATATCAATGCTGATATAGTATTTCAACTATATCCATGTTGGGTTTTCCCCTCTGATTTCTCTAGGCATCCTAGAGCTTATTTGTTAAGGCTCAGATCTTGGTTTTAGTCTAGAGAAACATGTATTTATTTGACAAAAATGCAGTCTTGTCTGTACAAGTGTTCACTGCAGTCAGATTAAATTCAATAAATAGTTCTGGGTAAAAAAAAAAAGAGAATGGGTAGGAAATGTTACAGTATTTTGTTTCAGCATTTTTAATTAGTTTAAAATTTTCACTATGAAACATTGTACCAAGACAAAATTTGGCTAAATACTAGCTAAGAAATTGAAACAAAGGTTTGTGGTGTTTTGTTTTGGTTTTTGGGGTTTTTTGGGGGTTTGTTTTTTGTATTTTGTTTTGTTTTGTTTTTTTAATTTGATATGAAGTTAAATGCTTGGAAGGTTTTTGTTTGGAAAAGCAAGTAAGAAAATTTGGGTTGCCCAAAACATTTGATTTTGGTTTAGGTTTGGTAGACAAGCGAAAAAAGTCTTTTGAGTTTTGGAACAGCTTTTAACCCTATGCTAATCCTTTTAAAGGTTCTTTCACTACCAGTTTCATCTCGCTGTATTTAAATCATGGGTTTTTTTAATAACTCTGGGTTTTTGCAGCTAATAGTTAAATTATATTAAATACAAACAAGATGGAATTCTTTATTATATAGTATAAGAAGTAACAGACCAGCAACCATACTCACTGCTAGAATAAGTGGACGCAACTTTGCTGAGATCGGTATACTGTCTAACATTTACATTAGTCATACATTTGTACAGGATTTCTATTTAGAGTTACTGGCTTGCTAGAAGAGAATTTTCACCTAATTCAGTGCAGAAAATATATGCATGAATGGGCCTTACCTTACATGAATGGGCAATGAGGTGGCATGAGCTCCCTGCTGCACTTCAGGCTGAATTTTCTCAGGTAAAATTTTCTCCTCCTCCATTTTGAAGCAGGACTTCAAATTATGGCAGGGAAGCCATCTTGTCTGAGAAAGATCTGTAGAATGAGTAAATTCCTTGGTCAGAAATTGCATATAGTTCCCTTTAGAGTGGCCTTTGTCTAGCCAATTTCTCTAGTTCAGGTAAGGAAGTGATATTAAACGTATAAGGAAAATAATGACTTGGTCTTAGTGATGACTGGACAAACGTCAACCAAATTTACTGGTCTTTATCAGTTTTTTGTATCTATAGATAATGAAGTAGCTAGTTGTAAGCTAAAAGAAATAAAAAACTTTAATGACACTAATTACAGTATTTCATAATGTCCCTTTATATTTTACCTTTAAGGGCATCTGCGCACAGTATAGCTATTTTCATCCTGTTCTCACTGTGTCTGTTTCCACAGGCATAGTTTTTGACGCACCATCTAGATAATTGCCATCACATACCATAATGGCCAATAGCTGGTTTCAGTATGATGTGTGATATTCCAGAGTGTGAACATACGGGTGACCTTTCGCGTTTACTGTGTGTGGAATCTGACATGAGGCTATGCCTTTGCAGGTGGTAGACATCATGAGAATGAATGTGGACAAGGTGCTAGAAAGAGACCAGAAGCTATCAGAGCTTGACAACCGGGCAGACGCATTGCAAGCAGGTGCCTCACAGTTTGAAACCAGTGCAGCCAAACTGAAGAGAAAATACTGGTGGAAAAATTGCAAGGTAAGCAATACAAATCCTTTTTAAGAACCAATTCATGGCAGACATTACTTTCACTACTTTAATTGCAGGATGGCATCTCTAAGTGGTCTCTTCTTGTCAAGGGGAGAAAGAGATACCTTGCTCTCTAGGCTCCAGGATAGTAAGTCAAGCAACTTTGATCTTTACCAGAACCTATTCATCAGATAATTTTTGCAGTATATAAAATGTAGATACAAATTTCAAGGCATCAGTCAGTGCCTGCAGATAAGGATGGGAGAGCATGTTAATTCATGTCAATTCCCTGTGTGAACCTCAAAATCTGAACAGGTGTAGTGAATTCTAGTAGTGGGAGAAAAGAAGCTTTTTCCTTGTGTGAGATCATTAGCCACTTGATCTTTCTTTAGGATGGTAAATTACCAAAAAAAATACATGTTCCACAAACCACTGTGAGAAGTGAGGAAATGACTTTAAAAAGGGGCAAGTTAGGATAGAGAAGGACTTTAATCAACCAGCTCTCTCCTCTGCTGTCTTCAAAGTCTTATCCTTTCCCATGAGCGGAGGGAACCTCACTCTCCTTTCCTTTTTCAGACCTCCTCCAGGATTTGTGTTTTCTGTGTTTTCTCTCAACAGCACAAGTACACAAAGCCAGCACAAATAATAGGTGATAGGCATTAGACATCTCCAGCTGTCTCTTCCCTGCCTATGGGAACGTGGTGAGAAGTGATCACATTACTGCACCATAAAGTAATACATGGCCATGTGTGAATCCATCCACTTAAATCACTTCTGGAGTTGTTTTAGTTCAGAAGTTTATTTTTCCTTTACTGCTGGAAATGGACACTGCATCTTAGCTGATGGGGAAGAACTTGCTAGCTTTGTCAAGAGGCTATGTCCATTGCTGGTGGTCAGCTGTTCCTAAAATTGACATTAAATGTGGGGCCTTAACAAGTCTGTTGCAAGAATAGAAAGTGCAAGGAATGAGCTACTAAGTAAAAGCAAAAAAACTGAGGGGTTAATGTCTTTCATGTGAAAACCTGACTGCCTCTTTTTTTTCTCATAACTTTACTTTTACAGATGATGATCATCCTTGGTGTAGTATGTGCAGTCATTCTCATTATAATTATAAGTGAGTAACTCATTTTTGTTTATGATCTCAATACCTCTGTGACTTGTGAAATGCTGATATATTAAAAAAGAAAACAAAACAAAAAATGGATATAAAATATTTAAAATATTTGTGACATTTCCCTTCTAGTGTCATGCTATTATAGTGAGAGTTGCTGCAAGCTCTCTGGACAGTTATATAGGTAGAATTTGTTGACATTTAATGTGTTTTACATTAGCATGTTACATAACTTTCCCTAGGATTAAAGACTCTCCCTTTTTGATGTTTATATAATTTTTATGCAGTCTTAGATATCTTGCTTTTGTTACAACCAGTGCCACAGTCCTGGTGTTTTCTAGTGAGAACAGTAATGCTTGAATTGCCCCATGCCTATAAAAAGAGGGTGAAGGCCCACAGGCAACTGAGCATCTGATGAATTTTTTAAAAGCATGTAGGTGCCTAGTTCCCAACAAATCAGCTGGACTTTGAGATATCGGTGCTTGTGAAAATCCCTTTGCCTCTTGAATGCCTAAATATTACTAAAAGATGGCCCAAAGTGTTAATGATTTATTGTCTCGAAAGATCATCTCATTCCACACATTTGTTATAGGAAAGATAGCATATGAATGAATAATAGCAGTCATGCTGGTTGGGAGCCGGGGATCTTGTAATGACAGGAACCGAACATTTAATTTATGTAACCTCTGTGTTAGCAACAGCTGTCATGTGATGTAACTGTAATATGGCATTAAGTCCTAGAAGTGAGATCTCTTGAGTTAAACAATACAGCTAGTAACCCAGAAGAGATTCACCAGGAGGCTAGACTGTGGATGTGAATTAATTCCCAGCTCTCAAATTACATGCCTTTTATTCAGAATGTTTCCATTTTCCTCTCTTACTTCTGTAAGGAAGGCTTATAGAATCACTTGTAAACAGGACTAAATGGATTGAGATACATGTGGAAGTTTATTAGTCTTATGAATGCTGGCACCAGAGTGACCCAGAATAATTCTAGGGTTTCGTAACACTGATACGGCAAGAATGGGAAATGGCTAGATATTAATTAACTATATTAACCGGGTACTCAAGGCAACTGGCTTCAAAGGAAAGAGACAGGCCTTTGTTCTGCAGTTTAGTGCAGCAACCTGGGAAGACAGATGTGCAGCCATTGAATTGATTGCTGTGTATATATGCATCATTGAACATTATGTGTATCTTAACAAGAAAGTGAAAAGCAGACAAGATAGCTCATAATTTGTCCTTAGAAGTTAAGCCTGAAATCATATATAAGTAATAATATTGTTTCTCTCCTGGTTTTAAACATTGGATGCCTCTCCTGGTAAGTTTAGAAACAGAAATAGCAGGTTTGACATGGTTTAGGTTGGATTTAGGGTATTTAATCACAAACTTGAGTGTCGCATCATCAAAACCAGGTCATGGCTCACCACAGTGAGATCTAGTCCAAGTTTGGTGAGATTTAACTGTATTTAAGCTCTGGATGTTAAATTATTTTTTCAGTCTATTTGATCCTTCTGTAATAATAGGTAAAGGCTGCAGCTTCAGGAAGGACCCTGTGTATTGAATTCAATGATGTATTTATTTACAAGTATATATTTGAATCCTGTTGACATAAAGCCTCCAAGTGCTGTCACAGACAAGGCCTGCATGGCTTCTCCCATGACTGATTTGAACGGGAACAAGATCATACCCTCCATGCAAGGCTGGCCATAGATGCAGATAAATTGGGTAGTTCCTCACAGCAACAAGCTACCATGGGTGGCGAAATGGCCCAAGCCAGGTTTCCTACCAATCTGGTAGTGGGACCCTGGAAAAGCAGGCTGGCTCTCTGCTGAAGGAAGAATTAGAACATGTGGGAGTACAGGTGCTGCTGGAGCTGGGGATAGTGGCTAACATCACTGTCAGTCCTTGCCCATTCTATCTTTCGAGCCACAGCCTCCCCTGCTTTCTATTTCTGTTTCCCCTCCGAACTCCTTTTGACACAGGAGGAGTAGCCTTGTTCCAGCCAGGAAGGCACACTGCGTGCAAGACATGGTCTTTCAGCAAAGATGTGCTAAAGGTGTTTGTCGTCCTCTGACAGCACATGCTTCTATGAGATAAAGCGCAACAATAGCTCTATAATAACTGTTGGTTTATGTCTTTTTTTTTTCCCCCTCTGCTTCCTTTTCCAGTTTATTTCTCCACTTGAAAAAGCGAAGAAGGAAGACTTGGCGCAACTTTGTTCATATCAACTAATGATATCAGTGTTCCTTTGTTGAACTCCGCTTTTTAATTCCCAGTGTCTTGGGATTTTTGCTTGTAATAACCCATAAGCATTCAGTGTGGTGTGTTTTGGAATTCTGTTGTTTCCACAAGAAACTGTACCAGCTAAATACTGCCAAGTAGTTCCATACACTGTCTTATCACTATGTCTTAAAATGTGTACGCACTGACCTTCAGAAACCGTAGTATACGAAAAGCATCCTAAACATCTCAGAATCAGAGAATGCAGCTATGGGGAAGCTCCTGCTTAAAAGGACACTGTCAGGTGGATTGGACCCAAACCTAAGGTTGCAGCAAACGTTAGGGCCAAAATTCTTAATCTGAGCACCTACAGTTGGGTGGCAAAATCCACTATCAGATGTAACTTTTTGAGGTAGTGAGTATTTGCTACTCCCATTGAAGAGAGTGGTAACTACAAGTATTCATGTAAAACATCTTATTTCAACTTAGCCAATCAAACACAGATTATTTTTTTTATATTAGTTGTAGTATCCAAGTCTAAAAATGTTGCCTGCAGAAAACAAATAGGACTGGATTATCATCTTTTATGGATCTAAATTTTTCCTTATGGGGTGTTCTGTACAACCAGGATGGCCTCAATATGAAAGTCAGGAAAAAAATTGTATGACAACCAAAAATGCTAATACAAGCATCATAAATGACCAAGATACAGACTCTTGCTGAAAACTGAAGGCACTGTTTGTCAGACTTCATGGGACTCTTGAATACCAGTCCCCAGTATTTATGGCCCTAACTTAAAGCACATGAACAATTTTGGTGATGTCTGTGGCTTCCCAGCACAATTGTAGGAAGCTACCTCTACACCATTTTGCAGAAATGGTCCCCACTGTGCAGACCGTTCAAAAATCAGGAAGAAAAAGGTATGGGTAAACAAAGGGAATAGCAGAGAGAGGCCGAGAAAGGGAAGGGTGCCTAGCAAAGCTTTCCTGGAGAAGAGGAAGGCAGAGAAACATTGTTCCAAAGTAGTGGTGTTAATAGGCTTTTTAAAAATTTAATCTCTGTGTGTGTGTGTTTATAGTTCATAAACTATAGTGTCTTCTTTGTAAAGTGCTCAGCTGAGATATTTTTCATACTCAATTAGTTTAAACTAACATTTGATGTAATTAAGAGAAATTATATATTGCTGTTTGGGAGAAAGTTCTTGTACGCTATTGTACAATTTCTTCCAAATGTTGAATTCCTTGTTTTTATTTTTTCAAACACTAAGTAGTTTAATCATAGTTAACCAAAGTAAAAATGAATTATCAAATTTTGAGCCAGGAAATTCTGAAGGGGTCTTTTTAGAATAACTTCTTCAGAATTTCTAAGACAAATTTGTAGAATTAAAAAAAAAAGTTGGTGTGTTTGGGGTTTTTTTTATCCACAATTTAATTAAGGCATAGAAATGGTGATAATAATAGTGTATATAATAGATTGATTTTAGAGTGCTCCACTGTGGAGCATCTCTCTTGAATGGTCTTGGATTAAAAACCAGAGACCCAGACCAGTTTGTTGCAGTGGATGTATATACAAATTGTGCTTAAGTAGAATTTTGCAGAGAGAATAAGCAATGATGAGTCAAAAGATTCCAGTTGCATTTTTTTCCCTATATATTTGTTACTTCATATTCACATGTACTTTATCATTAAGTAGTAGGTGGCCACAGTCTTAATGAAACCTAACTTTGAAAGTTACTAATGTGCTACTGGACTTCCTGGTATGCCCTGTTCACTTCAGCCCTTCAGCGAAGTGAGTACATAAACAACTGTAAAATCCTCATGGGCCAGACAGAAAACTCTGCTGTCATTAAGGGCCTGACTCCACGAGGTGCCACAACTGAATGCTATGTATAACTGAGCCTTCGCTGGAAAAGGAATAAGCTGTCCAACTTCAGGACCCTTTTTAAACTACTAAGATATTTGGCTAGCTGATATGCAAGAATTGCCTTCTAAGAGTGAGACACTGCCACCCATACCCATGTTGAGAATGGCTTGATCCTCACAGGGCTTCTCTAGGGAATGCTGAAAGGACTCGTGAGATGAAGATGGCTTTCACTAGAGATGGTACGATCAGTAAGGTTATCTGCTGATGCAGATCCTTAACGTAGACAGTGCCTTCTCCTATGAGAGTCTGAACTGACAGCTGATACTGCTGCAAATACACATCACAGGGTTTGAAACCTCTAGCTATTGAATCCTCTAGCTACAAAGATGCAGTTCCCAAATGAAACTAATGAAACTGATATAAGGATGCATAGCTTACATCCTCCTAGCTAATGTGTCTCCAGCAAGTTAATAACCACAGTGGGAGCTTTAGGTGAGAGTGGAGAAGAAAAGCTGCTAGTTGTGGAATGTGTACTCATTCTCCCTCAAAACAGTACCTAATGGGGATGACTGATAAATGTTGGTGCAAATTTGCAAGGAAGAGTTTAGTCAAGAAACCTAGCCTCTAGTGGGTTGGTAAAATGTTTGTCAAGAGACAATTTCCTCCTGTGTGCGTATGAAATATGCTAAATTAATGTGTTTAACTCTTTTAAGTTGTTTGCATATAGCATGTTCATGAATGCTCAATGTTTGCTAGTTGTGCTGTGCTGGTTGGTTGCAATCGTGAAGATAAGCCATGTAACATTGTTAATTCAGCCCAGGAAGCATTTACAAGTATGTCCGTCCCCAATGTACAGACCCCACATCGAACTGCTCCTGCAGAGGGTTAATTCTTCTCCAAGGAGAATATGGTAATATAGGGCTCTTCAGGGTCATAGATTGTGCAACACCATCACGTACATTTAGACTGGTACAGAGGACAATCTATATAAACACAGTTGGAGATCTTATTTGTGTTGAAGCTGGGATTGATTGCTTTCCACTCACTGCCTCTACATTTAGAAAGTCCACACATAGTTACAACTGGCTACATGTAAATTCCCCATGAAAAGGTTGACTCATTCTTATTTAGTCAGCACTGATTAGCATTTCTATTACTGGGTAGAATTTAAACCACTAGTCTTCATCACTAACTACTGCTCAGGCTTGGGCTGGTAAAAAGGCACAAAAGGGCTTTCTTTTACCCACTCCCCAGCAAACTGTCAGGGGACAGCAAGGCTGATTGCTTTCTGACTGCCATCTTGGGAACTGAACTGAAGACTTCTCTGGCTAAAAGCAAGGACTTTGATAGCTTTAGCCAGAGTTAGACATTGTTTGAGATTTGCATATTCTATCCTTATAAAAAGTGCTTACTCTTCCTCTGATTTCTGGGCTATGGCTGTACAGCTATGATGCTAGCATGACATGCCATTCAGATACAGCATAGCTGAAACAGGATGGTTAGGAGCTGGTCTGTGCTTGTACTACAGCTGCTGTTTGGCTTGCAATGAATGCCATCAGCTTCTGAGGTTGAAGAAGTGTTATTTGCATCCGCTATCCACAGGCTAGTAAGGTCCTGCTTCACCATTACATCTTCTTCCTTCTAATTTTGCTCACCTTGCAACAACATAAATGTGACTTTATACCTAAAAAATTGGTACACAGAACTTGCAGGAGGAAGTAGCATGGAAACCCAAACGGGGCACTTGACCTGTTTTCACTTAACAACATTATGTAACAGCACAGTCAATCCAACATAGTCCAACGTAATCCAATATTATTAAAAGGAGGAGAGGAGAACCTGATAAAGGCTCTGAATGTAACCTAGGGTCTCTAGCACAAGAAGTGATTTAGAAATGTAGTCAGTTTGATTTTTAAAGCTGGCACTATTGGAACCTCCACGAGGTTAGCCCTGGGAACAGCTCAGGCAAGCAAAATACCTGACTTTTTTCTTTTTAAATAGTGACCTACAATAAGTGACTTAAACAACCACAATGACAGAAGAACAGGACAGTATTAACTGTGCAAGGAATTAATTAGAACAGCTGCAATCTGCTATGTTTTTTTCTGGGTAGCAAAACCTTTCAAAATTCTTCTGTTTCTGTGTCTCATTTCTGTCACTGCTCCTCTGACGGGGCTTCACATAACTTTAATTTTATTAACAGTTGAGCTACTTCTTGTCTGAATACAATGAATTTTAGCTCTTAAGAGCAAATTCATGACTTGACATCTGTGTTAGAGCACACCTGCAAAATGTCTGCCTCTCAGAAGTGCAGCTACCACGAGAGACTCAAACTTCAGGAACTTTTAGCTCAGATGTTATTCAATTTTCTTTCATGCTTTCACACCGTAAGGTTTTCTCTATTCCATGAGAGGTTATCCACCCAGTGGGAGTATGTATAATCTATTACTTTTTTTGACAGCACCTCAATTGCACATGTTGGTGCTAGACCTTCACAAAGAAACTAGAGAGCACTTGGGTGTGATCCAGGATTTAGATCTCAACCCTACTTCTCCTGCCCTTTAAACAGGGAAGAGGGCTAAAACAGTAGCCATATAAGGCACTGGGCTCACTCCCAATGTACACAGTGAGTATTGGAGAAAGACCTCGAAGAGACCAAAGTCTCTTTGGTCTGGATTAACATCTTGATCTGAACTTTAGACCCATAACAGATCATAACCTTTGGGCCCCCTGTGTAGTCAGAAGAGCGAGATGCTCTTCCAGCCAGTTATTCTTCTCACTTAACTTAGTTCCCTCTTGCTAGACAAGACACATTTGAGCATGTGTTTCTTCATGCAAGAGAAAGCACAAGCACCCTCAAATTATCTCCTTTAAGGTTAAGATCAAGACCAACCATCAACGAAACACTGCCAAACCCGCCACTAAACCATGTCCCTAAGCACCATGTCTACCCGTCTTTTAAATACCTCCAGGGATGGTGATTCAACCTGTTCCCTGGGTAGCCTGTTCCAATGTTTGCTAGTTTGAAAAAAATGAATTGTACCTAAAGAAATGATTGGCTGAAGATTTCTCAGATGGTGACGCTATTTTCCGGAGGGATACTAGATTGGGATGTATGAAACAATCAAACCAGAACCTCACTTCAATTGTTCTTCATCTGGTCTCTTTCAGAAACACTTCTCTAGTCCACTTCAAGAAAGTATTTTGTTCTCCTCTTCAGCTAATTTCCCTTCCTTATTTCATTAACATATGTCTCCATTGATGTGCTCAGTAGCTTTTTTTCTCCATTGAGAACCAGAAGACTGTTTGCCTTTAAACACATGCATAAAAAGAGATCTGAGCCACCCAAGGAGTTTACCTTTCTTCCTGATGCACTGACATTTAAAAGCTACATCTTACAATAAAGCAGAAAAACTGTGGCAGTCCAGTTACATGCAGTTTTGGTGGAGTAAACACTTGATTATTCAACAATGAGTCATTTCTGCAGTAACCTCATTCTGTCATGACTGTATCACATCTGCTAACTCTCCAAAGCAAAAATCATAACCTGTACTGGTTTAAAACATGAATACAGCCTCGTGGTTCATACGTAACACTCTATTCAACCAAAGAAACCATGTGCTAGAAGTTTAAAAGGGCAAAATACTTGTTCTCAAA